AGTCATTGTTTGTGCGAATAAGTGGTCTCAATATCGCAAATCAAGGTATTGATTTCCTGAGAAGTTGCCATTATTTTAAAGTTCAACATTCCTTATCACCCCATCTCTTCTGTCCATTGGGACATTCTATTAATTTAAACTTCGGGTTGATGAAATATATAATTTTGTTAAGGAAATATTTATCGGAATAAAAATGTTTGTTTTTTTGCACCCTAATATTATCTAAATATCTGTTGAATGACACTTCCAGAAAACAACTAAAAATTGGATTTTCATACAGTACTTATAAAGTGTTGATGATCTACCTAAAAACCGGTCACACTAATGCTGACATATGCTCCTTATTTTCTAAATCTCACATCTTTTCAAAACCCGTTTATCAAACTTTTTTCTCTATGAAGTTTATATTTTGCTTTCAATATTGAGGAGTGCTTGAACCTATTTCATCTAAAACACTAAGTGAAGTTCAAACACTTCATACAACTTCAAATACTCAGTAGAAAGCCAGGACATGTTTATTTCGTGATAACACTCAGGCAGTGTGCTTAGGCTTAGAAAGAACAGTCGGAAATAATGTCAAGCCTTCATGTCTCTAAGTGACTATCTATCTAGTGAGTGCATATTCATGTCAAATACCCCTCACCTAGCTTAGAACAGTGTTTTCGTGATGAAAAGGTTTCTTCGTAGTGACTTCTCTAACTGTCATTTATTGATACTTTGAAACCACCGCAAAAGAAGTAACATGAAACTTTCTCGAAAAACGCAGTTATACAAATATTTCAACACTCATAATATGCACCAAAACACTGATGGGAAACGAAAGTGTTGATTGCGTTCATATAAACATTTTCACTTAGAAGTTCGACATAAAAAAATTCCTGCCAATTTATTCACTCTTGAGCAATGCACAAACTGGACAAAATACGTAGCATCTCTTCTATATCTCATAAATAACGATTAAAATATAATTTTACAACCTGTCCTGCCATTACTAAACAAACATACAGCTTCAGTAGACCGTCTCCAGTTCACTCTACTCTCTCCAGTCTTTTCAACCTGGCTCCACGACTACCCACAGCACTTCATCTCTTCCTCAATTGATCTCATCCATGTCACCGGCGCCTCGGATGGCCATCTCGTCGTTTCCCCTTTGCATTCCACTCGACGGCCTACCCTAGTGCGTGATGTCCCCGAATGCTCTTCTCACTGAATACACAATCCAATCCATCTCCACTTATCTCTGCATATTTGTTGAGCGATGTGTTGTTGGCTGGTTCGTTGCCAGCCGGAGTGACTTCCTTGTTGCTTATCCTTGTTATTCCGGCCATCTGGTCTTCAGTGTAGAGTGAGTGAAGGCGGCAGCTGTTGACGTCATGTATGTCTTCTGACAACAGCAGAAGTGAAGCCGTGAAAGTTGTAAAGATGCTGAAATCCGGAAGAATGGCAGGACCAGGTGGAACTCCACTAGAAGCAAGGAAAATAAACGCAGACACAACAGCGGACACACCCACACCACTATTGCAGAAGGCTTGGAAGGAAGGAAAGAAAGCTACCTGAACACTGTTTCCAAGGTGAGCTACCTTGTCAAACTTTCAAAGATGGGAGACCTAAGTCTTAGCAAGAACTGGCGCGACTCATGCACCTACCCCTGTCCACCAAAAGCAAAATATCAAGCCGCATCATCCTAGACAGACTAGAAGATACGCTGGACTCAAAACTATGACCAGAACAGGGTAGCTAGCTAGCTGGGAGGCTGACTGACTGCCTGGCTGCATTCAGGAAGAACAAACCATGTATCGATCAAATTACAGTGCTACGCGTCATCATAGAACACAACATAGAATGGCAGTCAACACTCCACCTCACCTCAACTTCATCCATTTTGAATGGGCCTTCGATGCCGTCGGCCACGAAGAAATTTGGCACCTGCTACAATACTGCGGAGTACCACAAACATTTACCAACCTCATACAACAGATATACGAAGAAGCCACATGCCGAATGATTCACAATGGAAAGCTCAGTGACGCCTTCGAAGTGAAGACAGGAAGGCGTAAGACAAGACTGCTACCTACTATCACCTATGATCTTCTGTATTGTGGTCGACCGGATCATGCAAGAAACCATGAGGAGTGAGAAGATGGGCATACGCTGTTTGACCGATGAACAGACCCTAGAAGATTTGAATTTCGTCAACGATGATGATTTGAGTCTGATGTCTTGTCGCACAAACTCGATGATGTACAGGCGTAAACCAACAAGTTGGTAGAAGAGGCAGTGAAGACGGGGGTTCAGGTGAACGTGAAGAGTACAGAGGTGATGAAGATACCCGAACAACATTAACAACAACAACAGCAACAACAAGAAGCATCAATCACCATCAGCGGGAGAGACCTAAAGGAAGTAGTATCTTTCACCTGCCTACCTATGCAGCATCATTTCAACTACACGCGGCAGCACGGGCACAGATGAGGATGTCAATGACAGGATCGGAATGACAACAAGACAGGCCTTCGTTGCAATCCCGCCATCTGATCTTCAGTGTAGAGTGAGCGTAGGCGACAGCTGTTGATGTCATGTATGTCTGTAGTTTGTTGGAAATGCTGTTCGTGACGCGCCCAGTTTCTCAACTACCACATAGAAGCACTGACTGACTTTACGTTAGTGTTGAAAATCCGAATGTTGTTCACGCTTTATGCTGAGTGCGGTGCGGTGCAGTGCAGTGCAGTACAGTAGATCTCCACACTGGTTTCAGATCGATGAAGGCCTGTCTTGTTGTCTTTCCGATCCTGTCATTGACATCCTCATCTGTGCGCGTGCTGCCGCGTGTAGTTGAAATGATGCTGCATAGGTAGGCAGGTGAAAGATACTACTTCCTTTAGGTCTCTCCCGCTGATGGTGATTGATGCTTCTTGTTGTTGCTGTTGTTGTTGTTAATGTTGTTCGGGTATCTTCATCACCTCTGTACTCTTCACGTTCACCTGAACCCCCGTCTTCACTGCCTCTTCTACCAACTTGTTGGTTTACGCCTGTACATCATCGAGTTTGTGCGACAAGACATCAGACTCAAATCATCATCGTTGACGAAATTCAAATCTTCTAGGGTCTGTTCATCGGTCAAACAGCGTATGCCCATCTTCTCACTCCTCATGGTTTCTTGCATGATCCGGTCGACCACAATACAGAAGATCATAGGTGATAGTAGGTAGCAGTCTTGTCTTACGCCTTCCTGTCTTCACTTCGAAGGCGTCACTGAGCTTTCCATTGTGAATCATTCGGCATGTGGCTTCTTCGTATATCTGTTGTATGAGGTTGGTAAATGTTTGTGGTACTCCGCAGTATTGTAGCAGGTGCCAAATTTCTTCGTGGCCGACGGCATCGAAGGCCCATTCAAAATGGATGAAGTTGAGGTGAGGTGGAGTGTTGACTGCCATTCTATGTTGTGTTCTATGATGACGCGTAGCACTGTAATTTGATCGATACATGGTTTGTTCTTCCTGAATGCAGCCAGCCAGTTAGCCAGCCAGCCAGCCAGCCAGCCAGCCAGCCAGCCAGCCAGCCAGCCAGCCAGCCAGCCAGCCAGCCAGCCAGCCAGGCAGCCAGGCAGCCAGCCTGCCAGCCAGCTAGCTAGCCTGCCAGCCAGCCAGCCACCCAGCCTCCCAGCAAGCTAGCTACCCTGTTCTGGTCATAGTTTTGAGTCCAGCGTATCTTCTAGTCTGTCTAGGATGATGCGGCTTGATATTTTGCTTTTGGTGGACAGGGGTAGGTGCATGAGTCGCGCCAGTTCTTGCTAAGACTTAGGTCTCCCATCTTTGAAAGTTTGACAAGGTAGCTCACCTTGGAAACAGTGTTCAGGTAGCTTTCTTTCCTTCCTTCCAAGCCTTCTGCAATAGTGGTGTGGGTGTGTCCGCTGTTGTGTCTGCGTTTATTTTCCTTGCTTCTAGTGGAGTTCCACCTGGTCCTGCCATTCTTCCGGATTTCAGCATCTTTACAACTTTCACGGCTTCACTTCTGCTGTTGTCAGAAGACATACATGACGTCAACAGCTGCCGCCTTCACTCACTCTACACTGAAGACCAGATGGCCGGAATAACAAGGATAAGCAACAAGGAAGTCACTCCGGCTGGCAACGAACCAGCCAACAACACATCGCTCAACAAATATGCAGAGATAAGTGGAGATGGATTGGATTGTGTATTCAGTGAGAAGAGCATTCGGGGACATCACGCACTAGGGTAGGCCGTCGAGTGGAATGCAAAGGGGAAACGACGAGATGGCCATCCGAGGCGCCGGTGACATGGATGAGATCAATTGAGGAAGAGATGAAGTGCTGTGGGTAGTCGTGGAGCCAGGTTGAAAAGACTGGAGAGAGTAGAGTGAAATGGAGGCGGTCCGCTGAATGCGTATATTTTGGTGGGTGTCTGAGTAGGAAATTGTATTGTTAATTTTTATTTTGCAATGATTTTTAGGTATATTATTTGAAAATAACTCTAATTTGGTTTGTATTTTACTTGAATTGGTTCTTCTCTGTTTTCGTTTTGGCTTTCACTGAATTTTCTGCTTGCCATGATGATTATTATGGTCCGGAATTCATGCGGCCATCAATTATTTGAAGCACATTTGTTCACTTTGTATGTACGAGTAAATTTATGTGGTTCATCACTGGTTGTTCGATTGATCGAATTATGTCATTTTTGTTAACGTTCATGCTGTTGCTCATAATGTTTTACTTTTTAGTGTTTCTAGCGATTTTTATATTTTCAACCGAATGTCTAGTTAACACATCAAACAGTAATTCGTGGAAACCACATTGCTTTGAATGAATGGTAATCAACATTTTCTCTCTTAATGATAATGGTTAATTATGATCCAAATTATAGCGGTTGCTTTTCCAACTGAATATGATACTTATTTTTCATTAAGGTCTTGAATATTCACTTATAACAAATCAAAAATTATTGGACAGTGATAATTTTCAATATTCATTCATCTTTCATCAGAATCACAATAACGAAAACCACAAAATACCTACCAATGACATGATAGCAAGTAGTGATTCACGACTGTTTAAAGAAGAAGCTGTGATATTTAATGACGAAGACTGCCATCTGGCTTTAAAGGACGACGAACGGAATATTGCATTTAATATGAATGTTTCAAGCAAACAACATCCTACAGTTTCCATGCAACATTCACCGGGAGAATATCACCTTATGTCAACAGGCAAGGCTCAGTTGTTCGATACATTTCCTGAGACTGACGAAAACGGCCAATACTTCAGTAAACCTCAACAACTCGCTATAAATTTGAAAGAAGAAAGTGAAGCGATTGACAATGAAACAAAAGCAAGCTTTAATCATGTATTATCAGCTATCCCTTCAAGAACTCCACCAATCAAGCGTAGAAATACAGCCATAGCTATTAAAGCTAAAGCAACAAGGTTAAGACAATCTTCAAATTCATTTCTACCAACAACTACTGGACATCGTGATAGATTATCGGCAGCAGTATCTAAAGCCACCATAACAACTGATCAGTCAGAGTACATACAGCCAACAAAAAAGAAAGAACTTTCAACTTTGTATGAAACAGAACACTCACCAACAGAACAGGGGGATAGTAACTGTCATAAGGTAGTAGATCCTCGTTTATCACCATCAATATCATCGTCTTTTTCAGGATCATCGAGTTTTAGTGAAAAGGCTGAACATGTCAGAAAAATGTCATCTTCATCAAACGATTTGCATAATCGTGTTGAAATTTCTACTAGTCCATCTGATTGGATTGGATATGTGAAAAATCTTGAAATTAATCGATCAGATATGGAACTTTCAGCCAATGACGATGTAGATTGTGTAATTAATCTGCTGAGGAACGTTCATACATTTGAAAGTCAGTTAATGAACGTGATTGCTATAGCGAAGAACGAATTAGAAAAATATGAATGTCTTGAAGATGATAAATGGTCAACAGCTACTAGTGATGTCGAGCAGCAACTAACAAGTATGGATATCGCCTCGAACTCCGGTAAGTTGTTATTTCCAAGATTATCTTTACTTATGTACTATGATGTTTGCAATCCTAGAAGAGAGAAAGGTATTTCTGCAGTTAGCTTCAGTGCCTTGATGTTAATCTTGTAAAGTGACAAATAGTTTCATGTAGAGCAATCGACACACAGAATAAGTCCATATATATCCTCAAATGTGACAATCTATCCGAATTCTAAAATGTATACGAGAAGGTACTAACTGAAAAAAAATGTTCAAAGCAATCATAGGAATGAGACAGACAAAATATTGACGCATAGGATTTTTATGAACAACAAGTTTACAAAATAAGTACTCAGCATATGTCTATTAGTTAATCTACTAGCTTCTGCAGAATATCACACATTACGCTTATAGAACATAAAGTGAAAATGCTAAATCTCCGAGATTACCTTCATTATAATTGTTACCTAACCCTCGGGTTCCCAGTGTCATATACGGCTTCAGTAGACCGTCTCCAGTTCACTCTACTCTCTCCAGTCTTTTCAACCTGGCTCCACGACTACCCACAGCATTTCATCTCTTCCTCAATTGATCTCATCCATGTCACCGTCGCCTCGGATGGCCATCTCGTCGTTTCCCCTTTGCATTCCACTCGACGGCCTACCCTAGTGCGTGATGTCCCCGAATGCTCTTCTCAGTGTATACACAATCCAATCCATCTCCACTTATCTCTGCATATTTGTTGAGCGATGTGTTGTTGGCTGGTTCGTTGCCAGCCGGAGTGACTTCCTTGTTGCTTATCCTTGTTATTCCGGCCATCTGATCTTCAGTGTAGAGTGAGCATAGGCGACAGCTGTTGATGTCATGTATGTCTGTAGTTTGTTGGAAATGCTTTTCGTGACGCGCCCATTTTGTCAACCACCACATAGAAGCACTGACTGACTTTACGTTAGTGTTGAAAATCCGAATGTTGTTCACACTTTATGCTGAGTGCAGTGCGGTGCGGTTTAGTGCAGTGCAGTGCAGTAGATCTCCACACTGGTTTCAGATTGATGAAGGCCTGTCTTGTTGTCTTTCCGATCCTGTCATTGACATCCTCATCTGTGCGCGTGCTGCCGCGTGTAGTTGAAATGATGCTGCATAGGTAGGCAGGTGAAAGATACTACTTCCTTTAGGTCTCTCCCGCTGATGGTGATTGATGCTTCTTGTTGTTGCTGTTGTTGTTGTTAATGTTGTTCGGGTATCTTCATCACCTCTGTACTCTTCACGTTCACCTGAACCCCCGTCTTCACTGCCTCTTCTACCAACTTGTTGGTTTACGCCTGTACATCATCGAGTTTGTGCGACAAGACATCAGACTCAAATCATCATCGTTGACGAAATTCAAATCTTCTAGGGTCTGTTCATCGGTCAAACAGCGTATGCCCATCTTCTCACTCCTCATGGTTTCTTGCATGATCCGGTCGACCACAATACAGAAGATCATAGGTGATAGTAGGTAGCAGTCTTGTCTTACGCCTTCCTGTCTTCACTTCGAAGGCGTCACTGAGCTTTCCATTGTGAATCATTCGGCATGTGGCTTCTTCGTATATCTGTTGTATGAGGTTGGTAAATGTTTGTGGTACTCCGCAGTATTGTAGCAGGTGCCAAATTTCTTCGTGGCCGACGGCATCGAAGGCCCATTCAAAATGGATGAAGTTGAGGTGAGGTGGAGTGTTGACTGCCATTCTATGTTGTGTTCTATGATGACGCGTAGCACTGTAATTTGATCGATACATGGTTTGTTCTTCCTGAATGCAGCCAGGCAGTCAGTCAGCCTCCCAGCTAGCTAGCTACCCTGTTCTGGTCATAGTTTTGAGTCCAGCGTATCTTCTAGTCTGTCTAGGATGATGCGGCTTGATATTTTGCTTTTGGTGGACAGGGGTAGGTGCATGAGTCGCGCCAGTTCTTGCTAAGACTTAGGTCTCCCATCTTTGAAAGTTTGACAAGGTAGCTCACCTTGGAAACAGTGTTCAGGTAGCTTTCTTTCCTTCTATGCAATCCCTCCGCAACTATTATGTGACGATTTTTGTATTGTCTGCGTGTTGACGTCTATGTTTCACTTGTTATTGTTAGCTGGTTTTGTGATTCTTTCTACTGGTTTCATATTCTTTCTTATGTAAAGGATTTGCTGTCTAGCAAGGATTAATGTTGTGCATGAATATTTTATGTTTGCCTCGAAAGTATACAAATAGATATGCGTGGTCATTTACAAATATGTATAAGTGAAGTTTTCCTTAGGATTGTATTACTTGACATATCTAGTTGGAGATTGAGTTTCACTTTAAGGAGAGATGCATGAAATGATTTTATTTCCGGATTTCTCATCAGCTGCTGACAAGCTAAAACATTTTTGAGATGCATATTAAGAAACTTTCGGATACTTGTATCAATTCGATATAAAATTATTGGCTCGAAATAAAGATAACATGGATGTGATGCATTTGAAGTCACACAAATTGAGTCGATAAAGCTGCAGGAAGTAATAATAAGTTGGCAAGACAAAGAAGAGTTTGAAGAATATTTTATGAATGAATGTATTCAATATATAGTTATTGTTACCTTTCCTAATATATTGAATACATTTATCTCCTCTTGTTATCCAACTTCCACTCTAAAATATTCATTTTGAAGATTTGTGGGGCTTAATTATTGACTTGAGATTTGTACTCATCATAGGATGGCATCATCTGGAGGACGATTGGAAACCTGTGAGTGACAGACAGCTGATACCTGGTGAGTTTAGACATCCGCACATCTGAGGAGTATCATATTCGGACAAATCAGGTGTCCAGTGCTTCCAGGTTCCTAATGTTTCTCCAACTAATTTCATTTCATGATGAACAGCAATCTAAACTATTCATCTGATTCTTCTATAATTTGACAGATTTATCTGTATATAGTAATGTTGAAAAAAGTGTTCAAGATTGTGAGTGGCTGATGAGAAATCCGCAAATAAAATGGATCCATGTTATTCGGCTTAATCTGTTGTTCATACTGTATTTAAATAATTGTTCTCTTATATCACTTTGGGTTTGCTGGTTTTACTGAATGAGCTTTTTTAATCTCATAATATGCAGTTTCAAATCAAATAGCTGGTCTTTAACAACTAGTAATCATTTTTAAATCACTGATTGTATATAAAATTGCCTACTTTATATTAATGTCATGTATACCTAAACTGTGACCAGTCCTTGAAAAATGCAATCTACTACTTCATGTTTTTATGGAATATTCATTGCACATATTTAACTGATCGTTACGTAAACATTTTACTCCTAAGAGCTTTCGAAATGTTTACTGAAATTTATTACCGGTAAATTCAAAATGAATGTGGACACATGGTGATCCGTATTTTAAGCTTCCTAATTTTTTATTTCAAGTAAAATTACTGTCCTCCGTATAGCCCAATTGAAATTTTAATCCATGTTAACTCTGTTCCAATCTTTTCCAGTGACACATTCATTGCTGCATTATTTTTAAAATTTCGAGGTGATTTATATGCTTTCATGCTTTTCTAAAGGTATCATGATGAAGAGTATTGTAGCATAACTGGTGTGTATTGCTTTGGAAGGCGGTAAACTTCATGTTTCATGCAAGCTTCTCTATTTTTTTTCTTTCCATCAGAAAAGACCGACGAATTGCTAACTGGTATCGGACACGCTCAAATGTTGATATCTGGAAATCTTACGACACTCAGTAAACTATGCAAACTGTACTTAGAAGCAAAATCACAGATAAAGAAGCAGCAACCAATTGATTATATTCCTCTGAGAAGTGACTTAGAAGGCTACTGGGATTTAATATTGCTACAGTATGGACGTTTTGAATTACAATTTCCACTTTTATGCAGTTGGATTTCGAAAGAATTTCGCACTGAACTGCAGCAAAACATCAAGAAGTCTGTTGGTGAACAGTTTATGCAAAAATCTGAATCGCTCAGCCCTAGAAAGTTAGATTATGAGAGCAGAAAGATAACCGTCAAAAATGCAAACACAATAACCCGTATTAAAGTAAATTTTATAACATAAACTGGCAATATGATTTATATGTATGTTTTGTCTCACTGACAGGAATAGTGACCCTGAAATCTTATGATAACTTAGGTGGCTAAACATGGCTATTAAAATTCATAAGTGTTACATTAGCGATGCGTATGCTGTTTACTCTTCTTAGCTTGACTGAATACTAGTCGCTTGTGTGATCAGAATGTGTAAAAAATCCTTGAATATTTACTGTTCCAGTTAAGCTTCTCCTGTTTCTGTAAATCTTGAAAATACACTATTTCATTTTTGTGGTTGAGTTACAGATAAAAAGAGCCCTCGAAACCATATTTTCACTTATATTGTGTAATTACTGAACGGAACAAAAATTCACTCATTAACTACACAGTCTGTATCTCATCTATACTAAGAAATATCCAGCGCATAGCGAATTCCAAAGCACCTCTAAAGCTCATTTAACTTATGTACTTCTGATTTGAAACCACAAAGAAAAATAGCTTGCAATTAACGCATGATAACTAACATCATTCTTCTCCATTTTGACGCATTATAGCCACAACAAAAATGCTGGTTCATCAAGTCGAATGTGAAGTATTAAATTGTGCACACTACTGATTTTATTAAGGTTAACTGAAATCTTTGTATTATCCTACTAGGTGAAGGCACTGACAAAATGCAAGGTCCTCTGAAATCCTTAAGCAAACATCTTAGTGAGTGTGCTCCCAAACTGGTTTGCAGATATTCCCAGTATAATGTCTAGGGATGCTTCGACCGCTTCACTTTCCTCGGAAGTTGAATCGGCCCGAAACAGTTAGTTTCCGGCAAAGTTTCGTCTCAAATACAGTAGGCCCATTTGGGATTTGTCAACATGCGTCATCAAATTTATAAAAGGACGAGAATACTGCATTGCAGTCCGTTTCGTCTTGTCATAGGACTGTGAGACATGGCCGTTAACAATAGAGGCCTTGAAACGGTTAAATGGGTTTGACCATAGGTATCTTTATAGCATTGCTCGTTTTTTGTTGGAATCACCATATGAGCAATCTTGAGGTCAGGCAAAGGGTACTAAGCAGGACAAGCAAGTCAACTGATAAGGTTGTGAACCTTAGTCGACTGAGATGGCTTGGCGATGTACAGCGCATGCCGAACTACTCTCTATCTCTACGTGCCATGCTGAAGGAAGTTGGTTTAGTTAGGATGAGTGTTCAGGATGGTCAGACGAAGACTTAGCACCAGTCCATGAAGTCTTCCACCGTGAGGTGTAGACTACCTGGTCTGGGTCTTTGAAAAGATAGGAGTCAGTGGTTGATGACAGTTGGTGATATTAATGGGATTAATTCACTGCCAAGTAAGTCTGAGTCTCCAAAGTAAGGCTGCTCAATATCTCAAGAAACACAGCTTGTGCATTTTCCTTTATGCCATTATAGACCTCATAGACGGATAATATGTTTTGTTCTTTTCCTGCTTAGCGTTATTTCAACTCGGTTCTACTGTTATTTTATGCGAAGATGGCTGCGTGACGTAAATAGCACATGTTCAAATACGTTTGGTCGTTCAAGGTTTACTGTACGTCCTTCGAATGACTGCTTAGCCTATTATTTTGCCACTAACCTCAACATTTCTCACTTTGTGTATTCAGCACATGTAAACCATTCTATGGAAAAATCTGTTTGAATTCCTGCATTCTCATCATTTCTTCTACATTCAGTGACTTCTGTTCACATACTTTTATTAATCTGATCTGCGTGCTTTACTTAAATAATAAGTCACTTTATTATCTGTTGGATATTATTATATATGGACATTTTTTTACAACGTTTTAGAATAAAAACACTTCTGGATCACATGCTAATTCAGTAATGTCAAATAAGTCACGCACTGCTGTCCGAGAACGAATCGCAAGTGCTCGCAAACAAATGATCAAACGAATTAGCAACAAAACTGTTGTTAATGACTCCGATAACAATAAAAGTGAACCTGGAAATTCTAAAAGTGGAAATTCACTGTTTTATACGATTGAATAATAATGATGGTGGTGATGTTGGGTTAATTATTTCAATGTATATATGTATACATATTATTTTACCGCGCAAATTACTCCGCCAAATTTTTCAAATACCAGTGTAAGCATGATGAAATTTATGAAGGGTATCTCTTATGTACAGTTCACATTTGTATACTTGTAAATACCCCTTATCTAACTTACATAATTTTCATTATATACTAACTCGTCATTCTTGTATGTTAGTCATCTAACCATACAAATAACAAATCGACAAGTAGTACATAAATACATGCTATGATGAATGCATACTTTGTTAGTGTATTGGATGATTGTCTGACGAAAAAATCCTTTACAGCTATACCTTTTTCTTCATACCCATAAATGTTTGTAGTTTTGACCTATCTATAATTCTTCTTTGTATATTTTCTTGCTTGTTCACTTTGTCCACTTTAGGCGTCAATATATTTCAAGTAATATATTCGTTAATTCTTTTTTTCCTTCTAATGACATTATCTCTTTAAAATTAATTCTGTTTTAATAAATTTGATAGTTTCAAACAAAAACAATGAATAAATGAACTGGAGTAGGGTGTGTATTAAATACTGATTTTACCTCATTCTTTCACTGTCCCTACTTTTCTTTTGATTTTTGATTTTTACTTATTTTTTTTAGCCTACCTTGATCAATATGAAGTATAATTATTTTGAACTGAATAGTGTTTTCTTAGGGACTATAGTGAAAGTGAAATGACTGTTGGTGGGTCTTCTTATCATATAGTGATTACCACTTTTAGTGAACTGAATGCCAAGGCACAGACATTTAAGAAAATAGTTTGATCTGACTATGTTGTTTAATAGGATATGATTGTGGATTCAGCAATAATGTTTTTAAAAGAAGACAGCATTAAACATATTCAATAACAGCTCTATGATTGGGAAAGTTTGATATTGAATAGGTGAACATAAAGAACGTTTTTTTTCCAACAGCTGACATTCAACAACGCTTCCGGTAATGTGCCATAATGTTCTTTGTGCAAAACTATCTAGTAATAAAGGGAAATTTTCCACTGCTGGTTATACACTTTGATCCGAATAATGGGGTGTAACTTTTGTAAACAGCAATTAGTATTACAGAATACGAATACAAACTAAAGCTCAGTGTATTCGTTAAGTTGATACGCTTGAAATAATTTCCTCAAATGTTTGCTTAGAAGCAAGTGACAGAAAGACTGACGGAAGAAAATATAATAACTTGCTCTTGAAATTTTAAAGAACGCGTCACACTTACCAGTAGTTAGAGTTTCTTATGGCGATGCAATTTTCTATAGTCTTCCTTTAAAGTGTTCGCTGTAGACTGGTAAAGTATTGGAGATCAGTGCAATTCATTCCACTACATGAGTAATGTGTAATAATTAATATAATCAAAGTGGTCAATAGAAAAACATCTCCTGAACAAACAGTTGAAAGATACCTTAGTTGCTTAGATGGCTTAGAACAGACGTTTCAGTTTTGTTGTTCGACAGCCATTTTGATGTAAATAAACGATCAACAGGGTACAATATAAATAAAGTAGATTTATTACGTTGACACTAATTTGTATAGTATCTAATAACGTATCTGCGATATTTTAATGTCATTCTTGTCACCAGAAATATCTACTCACCTCGAATCTTATTTCCGAATTAAAATGTCCTTTCAGTTGTTTCACGCGTTTTAAATTCACCTAGGATGTTCCAAGTTTGATTTTATGTTCACATGGTACATATACATATACGATAATCATTCAACCAGAATGACATGATGCTGTGGTACACATCACTCAATATTAGGTATTTCGCATTATTTTCATTAATTAAGTATTTTGTGGAATGGTATGTATGGTTATTTCAGTTATTGTGCGATTAACGTTTTCAAGACATTGTTTTTCTCTGTTCATCTCCAACCATCCTTCAGGCCATTATTTGGCATAAGTTCGACAGTGTAGTAGGTTTTGTTTCTTCAACGTCTCACCTACCTAGATTATTTTATTTGCATGTAACTAAGGATTTAGTGTATTTTACTTTGATATGAGCTGTACCTGAAGATAGTGTATATGTATACACACCTGTTTTGGTTTTATGACACAGTGATGTTCCATACATAATAGTGAAAAGTAGTACTGTATATACCAACAAATGCTTCATCTTTGAACTGTTTTAGCTTTGCTCTAACATATAACCAATCTTCACAATATCTGTACAAATTCACATTTTACTATGTGATGTAAAAAACAAAGTGATAACCTGAAAACGATGTGAACTAAGATAGTGGCATATCTATTTGACTGAGCATTTACTTATGAAAGCACTAATTAATTACCTTCTTCTACATAAGTTTCAAAACTCAAGCAATTCTTCACCTACACTTTGTTTTCATGAACTATGCTTTAACTTTTTTTAAGGAACTTGTCTTCATTATTTTTGCCATGATGTCTATATATCAGCAAATTTGATCTGAGCAATTTATTAGAGATTACTCTTGATGGAAAGCAGTTATAAGCCTTCTTGTGTAAGAAACACACTTTAGCGAGTAAAAATACAATAGCAGCCTGCTAACTATATAAAATTTTATATATACACTAGGTAGTAGACAATTTCGTGCTGTCTAGTCCTGAGTGCTGACTTAAGTTATATAGTTCATTTTGCAATATGGCTGACAGGCGAAGAGGCTACCATTTTTATGTGAAGCTTCTCCGTATTTCAATGTTTCAGTCGACTTGATCAGTTGGACCGCGTTCTAAAATCACAACCTGCTAATCAAGTAATGAGTAACTGATACAGTGAAGGATTGTGGCTAGTCTGTAATCAGCAGTAACTTCATTCGACACTGGACGAATTGACAGGTACTAATGAAATCTAATTTCTTTCTTAGAATTTATCTCATACAACGCCAATATTCATTCATAATTGATTAGGCTATTATACTTATAAAAAATTACTATTTATCGTTCACTTTTTGAATAATTTCACTCAGCTTTATGTCCCATAAACATATCTACAAATATAATATCATGGAAGATGACCAATGCACTGAGATATATTTAAAAAGAGTAAGAACAACAGTGGTAGGAGGATGGAACGAGTCTATTTCAGCGGTATCTTTTCTACAGCTTATAACACTGTGGATAACCTGTTTTATGCATCATTGTTACTAGATGATAGTTAAGGAATACTCAGAAAGGAAAGAATAACGTATTTTAATGTCAGATACCTCGAAGAAACTATGTGACTGAATTTATAACCATTCACGGAGATCTTCAAATAGAATGCTTGTAAATAGAATTGTGTAAAAAGGGCATCAAGCAATGACTCTTACGTGTGCTCGATTGTAAACAAATACACGAGATTAACCAGTTGTCCACCCAAGGAATTTTTCATGTCGCAAACCAATATGGCTATTCAGCAAAATACTATCGGTGTTTGACAAAGATTTAGCTAAATCCTACAGAAGCGGTCAACATTGTGCGTAGGAGAGACCTTACATCTTGGGTAAAATAATGATTTCTTTTCGTATAGCCTGACTGTCTAAGAACATTACTCTGCAAGAAAACAGTTTAGGTCATATATAAGTAATTTAATTCAACGCAGTGTATAAAGCCCTTATTGAATAGCTGTTGTGGTTGTTCACACTACTAATGTAATTTTAGTTTACTCACAAGTTATGCTATTAAGGCAAGTTAATGGTGATCAGGCGTTCATAACATCCAGTTCTTACCTAGCAATTTATTGAAAACTTGGAATAACAAAGTTGTTAGAAGACTGCAGTGAAACAAGAGTTTAAACGATCACCGGTAGTCATTGATGTTCTTGATTCTACTACATAACCAGTAATATTTAACAAAATTATTTTCATACTGCTTCACAACACGAAATTGACCTCACAACATTTTCAAATACTCAAATAAATCGAAGAATATATTGAACTTTTATTATGAGAAGGATACACAACTCGGATGTACTTCAAGTTTAATCGCAACTCCAAAGTAAATCACAAGCCACATTTCTTAGTAATACTAAATGGCACAGAAATAAAGCTGACTTCGCGAGGGGACTTCAAAAGTGAGTATAGTTTAGCTGACTGTTTAGCAAAGTTGATAGCGGAGGATGAAACAGACTCACCTACATGGGTGGTAGTAAACCTGAGAGGAAGCTTACACTCATTGAATCACTCTTCTAACGTGGTCGTGTCAGTTCATGGGAAACGTGAATCTACACCCCTCTCGCCTAACAAGTGAACTGGCGAGTACTAGCGAGTGCTCAGATATAAATTCTGAAGACTGAACAATTATCTTTCAATGAAAAGGCATTCAGAATAGTTGTTAATGAGCAAGAAGGGATTTGACTTGGTGGAACGTTTTGGTGACGGCCTCATTTAGGAGGCTAAACTCCAGTATTAATCTCCACAAAGGCATTATAGTAATATTTTAAGCATCTTGACTGTGCTACATGCTCAGAGTATTGGGAACAATTTCAGCTATTCTTACTTATTCCTTTCCCATAACTCTTCTTTTTTGTAATCTTAGGTAATAGATTTTGTCTCGAATGTTTATTATCTACTTCCCTAGTATTGTTATACAAACTGCAAGTCATAACGTTCTGTTAATGAGTTCCGAATTTTCTGTCATATCCGCTTAATTGTCTTTTGTACCATACAGTTGCTAACCTATAGTTAAGACATTCAACCTAGTTTATTATTTATTCTTTAAGCTTGTATGTGGCTTCAAAGAAGGCAAAAAATGTAATGAATTCATCATATTTAGCTAATAAATTCGCCGTCATCCTTAAGCCTTTAACATTTAATTGCTTCCTCAAGCTACTGATATGATGTATATTTTATAGCATTTCTCTCTGCTGGTTTCAAATGTTACTATGCTATGACCAGTGTTACTATGATTTTATCTATCAAAAACACTGCGCAAGTGAATACCTGTTGCTTACGATTCCAAGGCATTCATCAATGGTCGTTCATGCAGTGATAAGAAAAATTCTTCTGAATATTTTTGCAGCTATAGGATAGATATTATCCGATCTTTTGTTGATATTAAAATTTCTTTCAGTGATTTGCTTCAATGTAACTTTCCAGTAAGATAAGGGATAAAACTGTCACAGAAAGTGAAGCCAATGTTTTTTCAGAAGTTTCACTTTTCATTTATCCGTTTTCGTGTAGTAAATTTACTCTTTTCTTTAGCTGAAGGTCAAGAATAGCTTTTTCTCTTGTTAACTCTACAGTGTATGCAATGTAACAACGTGTTATGATGATATTTTATTTGACTGGATTGTCTCAATCTGAAGTTTGGTACTAAATCACCAGATGAAATAGGTTGAAATCTTCAAGTATATTTAGTTCCCTCATAATTCCAGAAATACTTGGCTGAAAAGCATCAGTAGTGTCAAGTATGGGTCACTGGCTTTCAGCCGAATGTCTGTTAAAATAAACCTTATAGTGTCATTTAAAGAAACGTTCTTCTGTGCTTCATACATGTAAAAAGTTATTTTCTGAAGAATCTTCACTGTATTCAAAGGGTTTCAGTAAAACTGTTAACATGCAGGACAAAAATGATAAAATTAAAAAAAATGAAAACGCTGCATATTTAACTTTCTGTATATGTATGAATAAGAAATAGCAACAATTATTGTGATCATGGGAAGGAATTTTGCTGGATATATTACTAAAATTAAAAGATACCATTCCAAGTAAATATTCATTACGAATATATCCATAATAAATTGGTTCATTGCACAATACCAAAAATCTCATGGATATACGATGAA